CCGTCGCCGAGCACTCCGCCAGAGTCTCTCGACTCCTGGTTCGACTGCCACCTCTTCCTCTGGAACTCCACCATAAACTCGCCGAAGCTGCCATCCGCCGCTCCGCCCAGTCCCTGGCCGTTCGCCGGCGAATGGCTACCTGCCGCCGACATCGGGAGAGACCCAGCAGCCGTGCCGACGAGCCAGATCCAGTCCAAGCTCCACACAGGCCCCCGCCAGAGTTTCCCGACGATCCACCGCCGTCGCGCTGTTTCCAGCGCCGCCTAGACCAGGAGGGCTCAACCCTCCCTAGTATTATCGGCCGGGGTCATCTCCTTCCTCTGCTCTGCTTCCCGGCGCCGCCAGAGAAGGCCGATCCTTCCGGCGATGGTTGGGGCTTCCACCCAACCGCCGACGCTCGGCATTCCCGCCGAAGCGCCACTGACGCTCGGCATTCCCGCCGAAGCACCGCCGACGCTCGGCCTTCCCGCCGAAGCGCCGCTGACGCTCGGCATTCCCACCGAAGCGCCATTGACGCTCGGCATTCCCGCCGAAGCGTCGCTGACGCTCGGCATCCTGCCGAAGCACTGCCGCTGCGCACGCCCTGCGCGCGCACCCGGCGTCGCCGCCCGCGTGCTCTAAGGCCGCCGCACGGCTTGCCGCGCGCACCCGCTAGCGTGCCCTTCGGCCCACCAGCGGGCCCACGCCCGCTAGCGTGCCCTTTGGCCCACCATCGGGCCCATGCCCGCTAGCATGCCCTTCGGCCCACCAGCAGGCCCACGCCCATGCCGACCATGCCACGGCTTCTGCGACTCTCGACCAGGACCGACCATCGACGCTAAGCATCGCTCTTCACCGAATGTCTCTGCCTTTGTCAAATCTCTACTCTGTCACGACCCGCCGAGCAATGCAGCCCCAAAGGTTAGCTCCGTACCCCTTCCTCTTAAGTTTAATTATCTCTCAAAAGGTTTTCTCGGCTTGTCTCCACCACCATCAGGAGAACGTAGACAGGATAGAACGGTTATCGGATCATGACTTCCGACGTTGCGCCAAACTTGTCACCGTTCGTGAGCTGCAGCCCTAGGCTATTTCACGACAACCGTTCCGCCATCTGTCTGGACGTGGACCGAGAGGGCCTCACACTTACCATCATCGAGTACTTCCCTAGGTTGTCCTGGGTTGATCGTGTATATTGGTACGCTTGCCTGTACTTAGGGTACGTGGTCAGACCTAGAGTCTAAGGTCCATACATTCTGATCGAATCAGTCTAATTGCCCCATCCCGGATCTTGAGTTTCATTGATCAGGTACAAGGGTTCTCACCCCGTCCTACATCAAAGTGCTTCGAAACAGAAGAAAAGAGGAATAAGTTGTGAAATAATCATTTTAAACTTATTATCCAAGTCTTATACAGTTAACTAGAAGTGACAAGGACTTTTCTTATCAAAATGTTTGGGTAAAGGTTGGTTAATATGTTGACTTAAGTGTAGCAATTTAAGTGAGTTAGAGATATTCTAATGCTTTGTACCAGAAAGGTAAAAGATAGAAGGATATACTATTTTCATACAAAGCTCCCCCTTACAAGTTGCTCCCTTCATATTCATATGGTTTGATTATTGCCAATCCTCTCATAGTCATCAACATTGTAACTTAATCTTAAATGATGGTGACATGGAAGCCAACTTCTATGAAACTTTTTTGATTGGTTTGGTGGCGTACCTTTTCTTGTTGTACTAAAAGATAACTAATTTAAATACGTAAAAAGCTGAATTTTACTAAAAATGATATCTGAATCTAACTAAAGTATCAACTAGGTCAATCCTCAAGGAGAAATAGGAGCTATGTGTCAACTAGTGTTTTCTTGATTTAAGAAAATAAAAAATGAGAGAAGAAAGGGATAGAGATTCTAATGTTGACGTGACAATCTGCTAGAACTCAGGTCTGGAATTGCAAGGTTTAGGACAGCTCCAAAGTTGGGTCCCTTTGGTGCACCTCCATACAAACACTTCACCGAGGTAATCAAGAAAAGTCAGTTCCAAAGACAATGTATTGCATTCCAAGAATTGTTCCACTAACTCCTACTCCTTAGCTACTCTTCAAGTCCAAAGCACTAACCTGCAAAAGTTAAACTAGATACACAACACTCTACTACTAGAAGGGAATTAGAACACAACGTACAAAGTTAACACTATATATGACTACGACATAAGATTGACAGATGTAAATAGACACCTTCTTTGGCAGTTATGCCACTAATGGAGGAATGAGTTTTATTGTAAGAGCTGCTAAATGATATAAACAATGGGGTGAACACTAAATCGTGTAACCTTGAAATAACATAGTGCAATTCAATTGTAAGTAGGCTATGCAATAAGTCAGCAAAGAATAAAGGAGGATGAAAAAGAGGAGAGAGAATGAATAGAAGAAGAGAGGGATGGAGCTAGAGAAACTCAGCTCCCCCTTTGACATTGGGGACAGGCAGTCTACTGTAGAGGTTGCCAAATTATATGGTTCGTGCTCTTGCAATCCATCCACCTGTCACTTGGATGATTATGAGGGCTGAACTCTATTAAAGCTGAGGAAGAAGATAGAGTGCAGAGAGAGGGGTTGGCATGAGATTCGTTGTTTGTCATTTAGTGGTGAAGGAAAAAAAGGTTCGTGGAAGAGAATGTAAGTAGAGAGAAAGAGAAAGACAGAGGAATGAAGCTAATGAGAAAATGAGAAGAAAAAAGAGAGTAGGGGAATAGAAAATAAAAAACCAAGTGATAGAGCAGAAAGCGTGGAGTGAGAGAGCAGAAAGAGTGGAGTGATAGAGAAGAAAGAGTGGAGTGAGAGGGCAGAAAGAGTGGAGTGAAAGGGCAGAAAAAGTGGAGTGAGAAAGCAAAAGAGTGGAGTGAGAGAGCATAAAAGGAGGATAAATAGAGAGAGGGAGTAGAGAGGGAGGGGACACAGAGAGAGATGGCAAAGAGAGGGAGTAGACGGAGAGAGAGAGAGGGTAGAGAGAGAGAGCAGATAGAGAGAGAGGGCAGAGTGAGTAGAGAGCAGATAGAGTGGGAGAGGGCATAGGAAGAGAGGGTAGAGAGGCAAAGCAGATAGAGTAGGAGAGGGCATAGGAAGAGAGGATAGAGAGGGAGAGTAGATAGAGAAAGAGGGCCGAGCGAGAAAGTAGAGAGAGGGAAAAGTTGGAGAATGGGGAGATTGAAAGGGCAGATGGGGAGAGCAGACATACTGATTCCAACCTCGATCCCCTATTTTTATGGTCATAATCTATCGAATATAAAGAGCTTCCAAATCAAAATATGACCGAATAACTATTAGTTTTAATAAAAAAATATGACAATTACCTTGATTTTACATTACTTTTCACATAAATATAGTGCATTATCATTTTTCTTGATAAATTTTCACTAGATTGTTACAATGACATCAATGCATAAGTACGATTTTTGCATCAAAACCAATGGTTCGATATATCTCTTTCCTCTCTTTTCTTCTTTTTATTTAGAGTATTTAGTTTCATTAACCCTCTACAAAATGGAGATTAGTAAAAAAAACATTAGTAATAGACTGATGATTTAAGATTGAAATAGGTTATTGAAGTAAACTGCAGGAGTAATATAGATCATGCTTGTGGCATAGAGCTGACAGAAAAAGGAAAATGGGAGAATACCCAACACCAACATATCAACTGATCGATACCTGATTTCTATTCCTCTAGATATGAAGAAAATCCTGCACCAAGAGCACTGCATTACAAAAGAAGAAGTGGTCCTTCATAAGTTTTCATTATCATGAGTTAATAATTAGTAAATAATATAGTTTTAGCTTTAAATCTTGATAAATAGACTTAGATTTATGTTAAAGTGTGAAAAGTAGTTTTCAGTTGATTAAAGTGAATTTTTGGGTAATTATGTGATTTTATAAAAATTTATATGATTTTTACAGTCTTACTTTTGAGATAAATGAAGAAAAATAAATAAAAATAAAATAAAATAAAATTGGGGGGACAGATAGGGGCACGTGTGCGCCACCCTCCTTCCACGTCACCGGTGGCTAGCCAACTATAGGGCAAGGAGTGGTCGTACACGCACGAGAAAGGTTCTTGATTGAAAATGTAATATTACTATATATTCACCAGAAATGTGGGCGCAGAACCGATGTGGGACTAAACCTTCATCACACCTTCCCCAAAAAGGGTGAGGCAACCGGCACGGGTTCGAATCCTCTCAAAGCCAAAATTTATATTTTTTTATCTGATTATTGCGACTTTCCTGCAAATCATGAGTGAAGGATTAAGTAACCAGAATTGCTGGATCATCAATGAAAATCTTGTTAACGTGATTTGCAGAGCATTGTTACTAAAATTGCTAAACGATTCGCAATAAAAGGATCGTGAATCCATCAAGTAAAGCATCTCCGATTGATTGACAAACAAGCCGTTGTCAAGAAGAGGACGATTCACCGGCATACGAGTCACCACCTCCTGAGAGCGTACCAAATGCGATGAAGAGCCTCCTCTTACTGCGCGGACTTGAGGATGAAGCTCCTTGACACGCGCCCCACCTCCATCCAGCTCCTCTCTGTCAGGTGACAGCCGCTAGAGAGCCGCAAAGTCACCATTTTTCTGCTCCACTAGGTGACAGTCACTAGAGACAATTCGACGACCCATTTCATTGATCTCTAGACTTCGTAAGGAGATTTAGAGATTGCCCACGTCGTCTTTGTCCAAGGAGAGCCTTCGAGGCCGTGGACACTACACGACGATTGATAAGTCTTCATTATCATGAGTTAATAATTAGTGAATAATATAGTTTTAGCCTTAACTCATGATAAATAGACTTATATTTGTGTTAAAGTGTGAAAAGTGGTTTTCAATTGATTAACGTGAATTTTTGGGTAATTATGTGATTTTATAAGATTTTTACAATCTTACTTTTGAGATAAATAAAGAACAAGAAATAAAAATAAAAATATTACAAAATGGGGGGACCTATCAGGCCCCCAAGCAGGTCAGAAGCTCAGTCAGGGAGTAGCCGCGAGCAGGGGCTTGAGCGGCTTGGACCGATAGGGGCACGTGTGTGCCACTCCCCTTCCACGTCACCAGTGGCCAGCCGGTTGTGGGGCAACGAGTGGTCGTACACGCGAGAGAAGGGACTATGCTTAGAAATCTAACATTACTATATATTTGTCCGAAAAATCGGCACACAATCGATGTGGGACTAAACTCCACCTTCCTCAGAAGAGGCGGGTGACCGGCACGGGTTCGAATCCTCCCAGAGTCAAAAGTCATATATTTTTATCTAATTATTGCGACTTTCCTGTAGATCGCTGGTGAAGGATTAAGCAATGAGAATCGCTGGATCATTAGCGAAAATCTCGTCAACGCGATTCGCGGAGCATTGCTACTAAAATTGCTGAACAATTCACGATAAAAGGATTGTGAATCCATCGAGTAAATCATCTCCGATTGATCGACGAACAAGCCGTCGTCGGGAAGAGGACGATCTGCCGGGAGACGAGTCGCCACCTCCTGAGAGTGTACCAGATGCGATGAAGAGACTCCTCTTGTTGCGCGGACCTGAGGATAAAACTCCCTGACACGTGCCCCACCTCCATCTAGCTTATCTCTGTCAGGTGACAACTGCCAGAGAGCCGCAAAGTCGCCATTTTTCCGCTCCGCCGGGTGACAGCCGCCGGAGACGATTCGACGACCCACTTCATTGATCTCTAGACTTCGCAAGGAGATCTAAAGATTGGCCACGTCGTCTTTGTCCAAGGAGAGCCTTCGAGGCTGTGGACACTACACGACGATCCTCCCAAATGCCTAGGATTCCGGTGCATCGCCGACGCATCGCCGTCGCGACGCCGGAACTCTATTTTCCTGCTTTCAATTTACTTTACGCATCATTTAGTGATAATTTTTGTGTTTTTAATTTATCAAAATATACTTTGTTCTATTACGATTCTTCCGGCTTTTATAGATCTTAATTTGATTAATTAAATCATCTGTAATCACTTACATAAGAATCGCTGGGTGGAACTCTATTTCTGCTCGATTTGCGTTCGCTAGGCGCTGACGTCATCCTGATGTTTGCACCCTTATTTCCCTTTTTTGTGAATTTTAAATATATTTCCTTTTCATTTCCTAGTTTAAAATTCATAGAAAATCGTATTCATTGGGAAAAAATCTGAATAATTACCAGATATTATATTACATCCCTGTGATCGACTTGGGAAATTACCATTACTTTTAGAAGTTTTATTGAATTAGAATTGATATATTTATTCAGAAATACTTCTAAATAACGAAAAATTCATATTTTCTAGTTTTATAAATTTTAAACTTGCATGATTTAATACACAACGACTGAGTTATGTCAAATTTTGGTGCCATTGCTGGGGATGTATTGCATAATATTTAGTATTTTTCTATTTTTCTCTTAGAGTACACAAAAAAATTTAACTCTTGTTTTATTTTCTTTTTGCCGATTTTTTTTAGAAAAAGGGAACGAAAAGAAGCAAGGCAAGGACTGAAGAATCCTGAAAGAGGGTAACAATTACAAACTTTTTTCCTCAAATTTATTGATTTTTATGCATGGTAGAAGATCCTTGCATCCAAGGCTAGAAAATCTTTTCATTATTTCATTCAAAAATAAAAATCCAAAAGAAAAATTAATTTTGATGGATCCTGAAGGAAGTACAGGTCAAATTGAGAACAATCCTATGGCCATGAAAAATCATTATATCCCTGATTCATTTCAAAGAGCATCCAATATTAGAGTCTCATTAGCACCCACTGTTAAATTCGAAATAAATCCAGGAATTTTTCAAATGCTCCCTAATTTTCATGAATTGCCTTTAGAGGAACCTCATCAGCACTTAGAAAAAGTTCATATGGTCTGTGATTTAGTTAATCTCCCTCAAGTTACACCGGAAATTATTAAGATGAAATTATTCCCTCATACACTTAGGGACAAAACTAGTCATTGACTATCCACATTAGATAGAGAATTAACTAGTTGGAAAGATATAGAACAGGCCTTTCTTCGAAAATTTTATCCCTTAGGAAAAATTCAAAATATGAGAAAAACATAGATGGAGTTTTTCTCAAAGCCTAGGAGAAACTTTGCATGAGACATGGGAAAAATTCAAAGATTTACTTAGAAAGTGACCTCATCATGCTATACCCAAGTGGCAGCTCAATAGAATTTTTTATGATGGATTATTAGAACAACATAGAAATATGGTTGATTCTATATGTGGAGGAGCTTTTATGGAGAAAACTCTAGATGAGATTTACAATCTTTATGAGAATTTAAGTGAAAATTCTAGAGATCAAGTCTCTTTTGAATTATATGACAGGGATAAGAAGAGAGGAATTTATGAATTGCATCATGATGATGATTCTAAACTTAGAAATGAAGTTAATCAGATTAATCAAAGATTAAAAAAAATTGATTTACTTATTGACAATATTAGAAAGCCTTTTAACCATCGACTTAATTTGAGTAGTACATGTCCTATGTATGGTGAAAATGATTATTCTGAATTTCAATGTTATAATTTAGATCAATCATTTCACCCTATGCAAGAGCAAGTGCAAGTAGCTCACGATTTTAATAGAAATAGGGAACCTTTTTCAAATTCTTATAATCTTAATTGGAGGAATAATTTTTCAAGGGGAAACCCAAATAATATTCAAAATCCAGAAGCACTTAGACCCAATTCAAACTCTAAATTTCGTCCAAAACAAGAAAATAGATTTTAGAAAAATCAGCCCTCTCAAATCCAACCTGATGCTATGAAAATGATGCAGCAAATGAGCTAAATGATGCAACAAACTATGAATCAAATGATGCTGCACCAGAAACAAATTATAGAGGCTCTTGGGAATAAGAGAGAAGAGGGACAGCTACCTAGTCAGCCCATAGAAAATCTAGGGAACCGCTCAACAATAGGATTTCAGCAAAGGGAGTCTAGTAGCATGAATCTAGGAAAAAACCCACGAAATGAAAATATTAGGACAGTGAATGCATTAAGGAGTGGTAAGATCTTACCTGATCCTTATCCCCAAACATTAGAAGAAAAAGAAAATGTTGACAAACCAAAACAAAATTGATGTGACTTAGTCGTTGTATATTAAATCACGTAAATATAAAATTTATAAAACTAGAAAATACGAATTTTCAGATATTTAGAAGTATTTATGAATAAATATATCAATTATAATTCAATAAAACTTCCAAAAATAGCAGTAATTTTCCAAGTCAATCATAGGGATGTAATATAATATCTGGTAATTATTCAGAATTTTCCTCAAAAACTACTATTTTCTATGAATTTTATACTAAGAATTGAAAATGAAATATATTTAAAATTCACGAAAAAAGGAAATAAGGGTGCGAGCATCAGGATGACGTCAACGCCTGGCAAACGTGAATCGGGCGGAAACAGAGTTCCGCTCGACGATTTTTACTTAAGCGATTACAGACGATTTAATTGATCAAATTAAGATCTATAAAAGCCGGAAGAATCGTAATAGAACAAAGTATATTTTGGTAAATTAAAATCACAAAAACTATCATTAAATGAAGCGTAAAGTAAGTTGAAAGTAAGAAAATAGAGTTTCGGCATTGCGACGGCAATGCGTCGGCGATGCACCGGAATCTTGAGCGTTCGGGAGGATCGTCGTATAGTGTCCATGGCCTCGAAGGCTCTGCTTGGACAAAGATGACATGGGCAATCTCTAGCTCTTCTCGCGAAGTCTAGAGATTAATGAAATGGGTCGTCGAGTCATCTCCAATGGCTGTCACTTGGCGGAGCAGAAAAACGGCGACTTTGCGGCTCTCTAGCGGCTGTCACCCGACGGAGAGGAGCTGGATGGAGGTGGGGCACATGTTAGGGAGCTTCATCCTCAGGTCCGCGCAGCAAGAGGAGGCTCTTCATCGCATCTGGTACGCCCTCAGGAGGTGGCGACTCGTCTCCCGGTGAATCGTCTTCTTCTCGATGACGGCTTGTTCGTCGATCAATCGGAGATGATTTACTCGATGGATTCGCGATCCTTTTATCGCGAATCGTTCAACAATTTTAGTAGCAATGCTCTGCGAATCGTGTTGATGAGATTTTTGCCGATGATCCAGCGATTCTCGTTGCTTAATCCTTCACTGGTGATTTGCAGGAAAGTCGTGATAGTCAGATAAAAATATATGAATTTTGACTCTAGGAGGATTCGAACCCACGTAGGTCGCCCGCCTCTTCTGAGGAAGGTGTGACGCGGGTTTAGTCCCACATTGGTTGTGTGCTGATTTTTCGGGCGAATATAAAGTAATGTTAGCTTTCTAAGCAAAGTCCCTTCTCTCGTGTGTACGACCACTCCTTCCCCACAGCCGGCTGGCCACCGGTGACATGGAAGGGGAGTGGCGCATACATGCTCCTATCAGTCCAAGCTAAGCCGCTCGAGCCCCTACTTGCGGCTACTCCCCGACTGTGCTTCCGACCCGCTTGCAGGCCCGGCTGGCTGGCGGGTCCCCCCTTTTTTGCAATATTTTTATTTTTATTTTTTGTTCTTTCAAAAGTAAGATTGTAAAAATCGTATAAAATCACATAATTACCCAAAAATTCACGTTAATTAACTAAAAATTACTTTTCACACTTTAACACAAATATAAGTCTATTTATCATGAGTTAAGGCTAAAACTATATTATTTACTAATTATTAACTCATGATAATGAAGACTTATCACACCCCCCAACTTAAATCATTGTTAGTCCCTTAGTAATGGAATTATGAAAATAAAATTTTACAAATCTCAAACATCATATTTCAATACAGAAAAAAAATACAATTAGAAATGATGCACCTTTAAACACTTTGGATTCTTATATCAAGTATTTAAGAATGATGTCAATCACTTAAATGTTTAAACACTCCTTGGAATAACAATCTAGACTTCACTTCTTCTATTCACATCTTTATCACTTCTTCACTCATAGATGTATTTACAAGATGTTTCAATTATCAATACTCATCCAAGAATAATATTGATCCTACATTTCCCTTTTTCTATGGCTTGATTTTTGAAGTTTGCACTATATTTCTTCCTTTTTTTTATTTTTTTTTATTTTAATATAGTGGATAAGTAGCTTTTCTTGTAGACAAATTTCAACAATAAGAATGATGTCTCACATCCTCCATGTGTACTCTTCATTTTCAGGGCTTTCACTTTATCCACTTATTTTTCAGCAAGTATTTTTCTATACACGATTTTCGACAATGAGAATGATGTCTCACACCCTCCATGTGTACTCTTTGTTTCTAGATTTTTCACATTGCTCTCTCTTTTTTTTTTTTTTTTTGAAATAAGTGATTTCTCCTCACAAGTCCTATAGATCAAGGTGCAAAAATCTCCATTAAACTCAAATGATCAATCAAATTTTCACATCAAGTAAATACTATCCATCAAGATCATGAAGTGAAAATTAGTAAAATCAAATCCATGTTATCTATCATGTATCCAAAGAGTATTCCAACATTTCATGCTACTAGATCATTCTTTTGACTCAATAATAATCTTCCTAGTATCTATTTGGTATCAATCAATCTAATTGATTTAATTTTTCATGCATGCAATATGATGTAAGAAATTTGTAAATTAGATAGTTCTGAGAGTTCTGTTTTCTATTTTCAGTTCTATTTTTAGCACAATAAATTTGTCAAAAATAAATCAAAACTATCCTTTTTATAGCTGTAATTTCGAATTTCAGTAATATATATCTAGGGGATTGAAATGTGAAAAAAGGGTTTCTAGAATTTCAAATTTCGGGCTATTTTTTTGTCTACTATTTTTGACAGTCTGTTGTTCCTGACATAAAACCAGAAAATAGATGTTGCAGTTTTTCTGAATTTTATTTTATTTTTATTTTTTTAGTTGCTGTTCTAAGTTGAATAAAATACAAACACATGTTCTTAATCGTCCTACAGCATAAATTAATAATGAATACTTCACCCCCCAACTTAAAAATGACATTGTCCACAATGACACAGAAAAATCGAAACAGAATATGCAGAAAATATAATTTTCAAGTGAAGCATGCATATCTGCAAAGTTAAGCATTAAAAATATTTTCATAAATGATGAAGCTCAGAAAGGCATCACCTCAACCTCGTTTTTAATTTTCCACTTCATCTTACACTCCTCCTCTTGCACTTTTTCAAAAAACAAATACAGAAACAGGTACTGTGAAATTCTAAGGAAAAACAGAGTTAAAAAATAAATAAATCAAACAGAATGAAATAAAAACCATGGGTTGCCTCCCATGCAGCGCTGCATTTAATGTCTCCAGCTGGACAGCTCTTAGATCATATAAGATGATCTATGGCCATCAAAATATATTTGTACCCCAAGGTAAGTTTCATGATATTCTTTTTCAGATTTAGCATAAATTCATATACTTCATATATATACCTTGACATACTTTCAGCCAAAACAAAATGGAAATTAACAAAATTTTCCCAAAAATAATATTTTCATTTTGAAAAGAATCTTTCCTTATTTCTATCTTGTTTTGTAAGGCTCTCATTCATTAATAAATACTTTCTATTAATAGACCATAAAATGTGAGCAGGCCATATAATTTTCATATTAGCTCTTGCCCAATCTAGAATTTTTTCATCTAAATTGATATCTCTAATTCTTCCATTCATCTATTTCTTAATGTCTTCTTTTATCTGCATAATCTTCCCCTGCTCCATTTTATCTTCCATACATATTTGTTCAATTTGCGAGGAGTGAAATATTTCAAGCTTAGAAATAATTCTAATGGGTTGTGGGTTTTGAAGGATGGAACGATTGTCTTCTTTAATCTCAGATCTAATGAATTCAGTAAAATTCAAATTTTCTCCTCCAAAATTATCTCTATATTGATATCCATTATTTTTGTTTCTCCCCATTAGTTGAATCAACTCTTTTTCTTGCTTTTCGTTTCTCAACTCATCAAATTCTTCATCTTCCCAAGAGCTATCTTTTAATTTTGGTATATTATATACATCATCATCTTCACAATCAACATCCATGGCTGTAAAATTATGATTAGATTCATTAATTTCGTCTCCTACATCTCCCAAATCAACTAATTTTTCCTCACCTAAAATACGTTTTTCTTCATTTCTGTCCTTACTCCCTTCTACTAAAATTTGGATCATTTTTCCATGATCAGCTGCTGTTTCTTCATCTAAGGGCTCTTTCTCCCCATCATCCTCACTATATTCATTCATCAATTGTGAGCAATAAATGATTTTATTCAAATTTTCTGCTACTATATTTTCAGCTTTAATATTCTCATTTACTTCTAATGGATCATCAATTTCTTCTAATAATTGAAAATAAAGATCAGGTAAAATATTCTCAATCAATGTATTCACTGTCCTAACATTTTCATTTCATGGGTTTTTTTCTAAATTTATCTAGCTACACTCTCTTTGCTGAAATCCTACTGTTGGATAGTTTCCTGAATTTTCTATGGGCTAACTAGGTGGCTGTCCCTCTTCTCTCTTATTCCCAAGAGCCTCTATAATTTGTTTCTGGTGCAGCATCATTTGATTCATAGTTTGTTGCATCATTTGACTTATAATTTGTTGCATCATTTGGCTCATTTGCTGCATCATTTCTATAGTATCATAATGGGTTTGAGAGGGCTAATTGTTTTGAAATCTGTTTTCTTGTTTTGGATGAAATTCAGAGTTTTAATTAGATCTAAATGCTTCTGGATCTTGAATATTATTTGGGTTTCTCCACGAAAAATTATTCCCCCAATTATGATTATAAGAATTAGAAAAATATTCCCCATTTTTACTAAAATCGTGCGGTACTTGCACTTGTTTTTGCCTAGGATGATATTGAAATTCGAAATGATCATTTTCACCATACATAGGACGTGTACTATTTGAATTAAATTGAGGGTTAAGAGGCTTTCTAATATTGTCAATAAGTAAATCAAGTTTTTCTAATCTTTGATTAATTTGATTAACTTCATTTCTAAGTTTAGAATCATCATCATGATGCAATTCATAAATTCCTCTCTTCTTATCCCTGTCATATAATTCAAAAGAGGCTTGATCTCTAGAATTTTCACTTAAATTCTCATAAAGACTGTAAATCTCATCAAGAGTTTTCTCCATAAAAGTTCCTCCACATATAGAATCAATCATATTTCTATGTTGTTCTAATAATCTATCATAAAAAATTCTATTGAGCTGCCACTTGGGTATAGCATGATGAAGACACTTCCTAAGTAAATCTTTGAATTTTTCCCATGTCTCATGCAAAGTTTCTCCTGGTCTTTGAGAAAAACTCCATATATGTTTTCTCATATTTTGAGTTTTTCCTAAGGGATAAAATTTTCGAAGCAAGGCCTGTTCTATGTCTTTCCAACTAGTTAATTCTCTATTTAATGTGGATAGCCAATGACTAGCTTTGTCCCTAAGTGTATGAGGGAATAATTTCATCTTAATAATTTTTGGTGTAACTTGAGGGAGATTAACTAAATCACAGACTATATGAAATTTTTCTAAGTGCTGATGAGGTTCCTCTAAAGGAAATCCATGAAAATTAGGGAGCATTTGAAAAATTCCTAGATTTACTTCGAATTTAACATTGGGTGCTAATGGGACTCTAATATTGGATGCTCTTTGAAATGAATATGGGATATAATGATTTTTCATGGCCATAGGATTGTTCTCAGTTTGACCTGTACTTCCCTCAGGATCTATCAAAATTAATTTTTCTTTCGGATTTTTATTTTTGAATGAAATAATGAAAGGATTTTCTAGCCTTGGATGCAAAGATCTTCTACCATGCATAAAAATCAATAAATTTGAGGGAAAAATTTAGTAATTGTTACCCTCCTTCAGTATGCTCCATTCCTTGCCTTACTTTTTTTCGTTCCCTTTTTCTAAAAAAGAAATCGGCAAAAAGAAAATAAAACAAGAGTTAAATTTTTTTGTGTACTCAAAGAGAAAAATAGAAAAGTATTAAATATTATGCAATACATCCTCGGCAATAGCGCCAAAATTTGACGTGACTCAGTCATTGTATATTAAATCACATAAATATAAAATTTATAAAACTAGAAAATACGAATTTTCAGATATTTAGAAGTATTTCTAAATAAATATATCAATTATAATTCAATTAAACTTCCAAAAATAGTGGCAATTTTCCAAGTCGATCACAGGGATGTAATATAATATCTGGTAATTTTTCAGAATTTTCCTCAAAAACTACTATTTCTATGAATTTTATACTAAGAATTGAAAAGGAAATATATTTAAAATTCACGAAAAAAGGAAATAAGGGTGCGGGCATCAGGATGACATCAACGCCCGGTGAACGTGAATCTGACAGAAATAGAGTTCTGCTCGGCGATTCTTACGTAAGCAATTATAGATGATTTAATTGATCAAATTAAGATCTATAAAAGCCGGAAGAATCGTAATAGAACAAAGTATATTTTAGTAAATTAAAATCACAAAAACTATCATTAAATGAAGCGTAAAGTAAGTTGAAAGCAGGAAAATAGAGTTCTAGCGTCACGACGGCAATGCGTCGGCGATGCACCAAAATTCTGAGCATTAGGGAGGATCGTCGTGCAGTGTCCACGGCCTCGAAGGCTCTGCTTGGACAAAGACGACGTGGGCAATCTCTAGATCTTCTCGTGAAGTCTAGAGATTAATGAAATGGGTCGTCGAGTCATCTCCGGTGGCTGTCACTCGGCAGAGTGGAAAAACGGCGACTTTGCGGCTCTCTGGCAGTTGTCACCCGACGGAGAGGAGCTGGATGGAGGTGGGGTGCGTGTCAGGGAGCTTCATCCTCAGGTTCGCGCAGCAAGAGGAGGCTCTTCATCGCATCTAGTATGCTCTCAGGAGGTGGCGACTCATCTCCCGGCGGATCGTCCTCTTCGCAACGACGGCTTGTTAGTCGATCAATCGGAGATGATTTACTCGATGGATTCACGATCCTTTTATCGCGAATCATTCAACAATTTTAGTAGTAATGCTCCGCGAATCGCATTGACGAGATTTTCGCCGATGATCCAGCGATTCTCGTTGCTTAATCCTTCACCGGTGATTTACAAGAAAGTCGCGATAGTCAGATAAAAATATATGAATTTTGACTCTGGGAGGATTCGAACCCGTGCCGGTCGCCCGCCTCTTCTGAGGAAGGTGTGACGCGGGTTTAGTCCCACATTGGTTGTGCGCTGATTTTTCGGGCGAATATATAGTAATGTTAGCTTTCTAAGCAAAGTCCCTTCTCTCGCGTGTACGACCACTCCTTGCCCCACAGCCGGCTAGCCACCGGTGACGTGGAAGGAGAGTGGTGCACACGTGCCCCTATCGGTCCAAGCCAAGCCGCTCGAGCCCCTGCTCGCGGCTACTCCCCGACTGTGCTTCCTACCTGCTTGCGGGCCCGGCTGGCCGGCGGGTCCCCCCTTTTTTGAAATATTTTTATTTTTATTTCTTGTTCTTTCAAAAGTAAGACTGTAAAAATCGTATAAAATCACATAATTACCCAAAAATTCACGTTAATTAACTGAAAATTACTTTTCACACTTTAACACAAATATAAGTCTATTTATCATGAGTTAAGGCTAAAACTATATTATTTACTAATTATTAACTCATGATAATGAAGACTTATGAAAAATCAAATAGGAGTAGAAGAGGATTTTATAGATTCTACCAAGGAAATTTCGAAAGAGAGGACGACCATTCCATTTCCTAAAGCTCTAAAACCTAGAGAAAGAAAGAAAAAGGAACACAATTAAGAAATAAAGAAAATTTTACAAGATGTGCAAATTAGTCTTCCTTTACTCACTACCATTGAACATATTCCTGAATATGCTAGAGTTTTGAAAGAAATGTGTACACCAAAAAGGGCACCTAGAGTAGAAAAATTATCTATGCATGCTAGTGCATTATTATTAAATCAATTACCATATAAATTGAGAGATACAGGTTCCCCTTTAATTTCGTGTGATATTGGTGGATTCATTTTTCAGAATGCATTACTTGACACCGGTGCTAGTATTAATTTATTACCTATAAGTATTTGTGATAAATTTAATATTTCTGATCTTAAACCTTCTGCTATTACCTTATAATTTGCTGATAGATCCATAAAACATCCTAAAGGTATTTTAGAAAATGTGATAGTGACAATTAAAGGGTGTAAATTTCCAGCTAATTTTGTAGTGCTGGAAATGGATTTTAATGGACAGTTTTATGATACACCAATCATCCTAGGGAGACCATTTTTGCATACAGCAAAGATGAATATTGATTTTCCCACAGGTATTGCGAAAATTTCATGTGGAGATCAATCAGTAGAAATTAAAATTTTTGAGATATCAAATGATCTTAAGAAATCCCTAGTATATGATTGATTTTGATGATCCAGATGTTATTGATGACTATGTGCTGGAAGAATTAGAGGAAATAGAGAATATAAATTTAGAAGAAAAGAAAGAGGAAGATCATCTGAATTTAGAGTTGAAACCTCTTCCCTCTAGTTTAAAATATATGTTTTTGGAGAAAAATAATTCATTTCATGTTATTATTGTTGCTGATTTGAGTGATGAACAGGAAGAAGAATTATTAGATGTACTTTGAAAAAATAAGAAGGCTATGGGCTGGAAAATGGATGATCTAAGGGGCATTGATATGAGTGTATGTATGCATAGTATATATCTAGAGGAGGGGGCTAGAACTAGCAGGGAACCACAACAAAGATTAAATCCTAACATGATAGAAATTGTAAAAAAAGAAATTTTAAAGTTGTTGGCTGCTGATATTATTTATCCTATTTCAGATAGCAAATGGGTTAGTCCTACACAAGTGGTGCCAAAAAAATCAGGGATCACGGTTATAAAAAACGAAAATGGGGATGAAATATAAACAAGATTAACTACTGGTTGGAGGGTTTGCTTTGATTATAGAAAATTAAATTCAGTTACTAGAAAATATCATTTTCCCCTATCATTTACTGATCAAATTCTAGAAAAATTAGTTGGAAAAAACTTTTTTTGTTTTCTGAATGGATACTCTGGTTATAATGAAATTTATATAAACCCTTTAGATCAAGAAAAAAATAACTTTCACTTGTCCATTTGGTACTTTTGCTTTTAAATGCATGCCTTTTGGTCTGTATAATGCTCCAGCCACATTTCAAAGATGTATGCTGTCTATTTTTTTTGATATGATTGGAAAATGCATGGAGATTTTTATGGACGATTTTTCTATTTTTGGTGAATCATTTGATGAATGCTTAAATCATTTATAGCATGTACTTGAGAAATGCATAGAGAACAAATTAGTTTTGAGTTGGGAGAAATCACATTTTATGGTTAAAGAGGGAGTTGTGTTGGGTCATATTGTGAGCGAAAGGGGTTTAGAGGTGGATAGAGCAAAAATTGATATTATATCTAAAATGAAACCTCCAAATTCAGTAAAACAGATTAGATCTTTCTTGGGTCATGCGGGTTATTACAGAAAATTTATTCAAGATTTTTCAAAAATTTCTAAACCTCTCACCATGCTATTATCTAAAGATGTGCCTTTTAATTTTGATGAGAAATGTTTTGAGTCTTTTTCCGAAATAAAAAGATTACTTATTGAGGCACCCATTTTACAAGCTCCTGATTGGTCCCTTCCCTTTGAAATAATGTGTGATGCATCGAATTATGTAGTGGGGGCCGTTCTAAGACAAACAAAAGAGTCAAAACCTATAGTAATTTCATATGCTAGTAAAACTATATCCGATGTTCAATTAAATTATACCACGACTAAAAAAGAGTTGTTAGTTGTAGTATTTTCGTTAGAAAGGTTTAGATCATATATTTTGGGAGCTAAAATTATTATTTTTACTGATCATGCAGTATTAAAATATCTGTTAAATAAGAAAGATGCAAAGCCACATTTATTAAGATGGATTTTATTGTTGCAAGAATTTGACTTAGAAATAAAAGATAAAAAAGGTTTTGAGAATGTTGTTGCTGACCATCTTTCTAGATTAAGTGTTACAAGAATAAATGCAGCACCTTTACAAGACGCATTTCTAGATGAACAATTGATGGCAGCTCAACATCAACCATCACCATGGTATGCACATATTGTTAATTTTCTGGTTTTTGGAAAAACTCCTAAATAGTGGGATAAGAACAGAAAACATCATTTCTTTTCTAAGATTAGAAATTATTTTTGACATGATCCTAATTTATATTACTTGGGCAATGATCAAATCTTAAGGAGATGTGTTCCTGAAGAAGAATATCATAGCATTATTAACATGTGCCATTCATCTAATTGTGGAGGACATTTCTCTAGACGAAAAATAGCTGCAAAAATTTTTCAGTGTGGTTTTTATTGGCCTATAATCATTAGAGATTCTATAGAATTTAGTAGAACATGTATTTCATGCCAATCTATAGGTAACATGAGTAAAAAAGATGAAATTTCCATGAGTAACATGTTAGTAGTCGAAATTTTTGATGTATGGGGAATAGATTTCATGGGTCCCTTCCCATCAGCTGAAAAATATGAATATATTTTGCTTTCTGTTGATTATGTGTCGAAGTGGGTGGAAGCTATTCCTACTAGAACTAATGATCATAAAATCGTGATGAAATTTATGCAGGAAAATATTTTTTCAAGATTTGGATGTCCTAGAGTGATTATTAGTGATGAAGGAACACATTTTACAAATAAACATTTTAGGGAATTGTTGAAAAAGAATAGAGTACACCATAGAGAAATGGGCAAGCTGAAGTAGCAAATAGGGAAATTCAGAGAATTTTGAGAAAAATAGTTAAACCAGATAGGAAAGATTGGCCCACGAACAGCTTATAAAAATCCCATAGGTATGTTCCCATTTCGTCTCATTTTTGGAAAGCCATGTCATCTTCTTGTGGAAATAGAGCATAAAGCATTATGGCCTATAAAAAATTTATGTATGGATGAAAAATCAGCTGGTGGGCATAGAATTTTTCAGCTACATGAACTAGAGGAGTTGAGGAATGAAGCTTATGAAAATCATAGAATATATAAAGAAAAAATTAAAACTTTTCATGATAAATACATTAGCAGAAAAAAATTTGATGTTGGACAAAAAGTGTGGTTATATGATTCTAGGCTGAAATTATTCCCAGGAAAATTAAAATCAAAATGGAAAGGGCCTTATGTGGTGGAAGAGACATATGATCATGGGGCTGTAATGATTAAAGATCCTAAAAGTGATCATAACTTTAAGGTAAATGGACAGCGGCTTAAACATTACATAGGACATGAACGCTTTGTAGAAAAAGAAATTTTATTATTAAAAGAAATTCAAGAGTAAGATCCAGGAGTCCAGCTGGAGACATTAAATTCAGCGCTGCATGGGAGGCAACCCATGGTTTTTATTTTATTCTGTTTGATTTTTTTAAGTTCTATTTTTCTTAGAATTTCGCAGTACTTCTTTCTGTATTTGTTTTTTCGAAAAAGTGTAGGAGGAGTGTAAGATGAAGTGGAAAATTAAAAACGAGGTTGAGGTGATGTCTTTCTGAGCTTTATCATTTATGAAAATATTTTTAATACTTAACTTTGCAAATATGCATGCTTCACTTGAAAATTATATTTTCTGCATATTCTGTTTTAATTTTTCTGTGTCATTGAGGACAATGTCATTTATAAGTTGGGGGGTGAAGTATTCATTATTAATTTATGCTGTAGGATGATTAAGAACATGTGTTTGCATTTTATTCAACTTAGAACCATAATTAAAAAATAAAAATAAAATAAAATTCGGAAAAATTGCAACATCTATTTTCTGGTTTTTTGTTAGGAACAATAGACTGTCAAAAACAGCAGACAAAAAACAGCCCAAAATTTGAAATTCTAGAAGACCCTTTTCTCACATTTCAATCCCCTAGATATATATTACTGAAATTCGAAATTACAGCTATAAAAAAGATAGTTTTGATTTATTTCTGACAAATTTATTGTGCTAAAAATAGAACTGAAAACAGAAAACAGAACTCTCAGAACTATCTAATTTATAAATTTCTTACATCATATTGCATGCATGAAAAATTAAATCAATTAGTTTAATTGATACCAAATAAATACTAGGAAGATTATTATTGAGTCAAAAGAATGATCTAGTAGCATGAAATGTTGGAATACTCCTTGGATACATGATAGATAACATGGATTTGATTTTATAGATTTTCACTTCATGATCTTGATAGATAGTATTTACTTGATGTGAAAACTTGATTGATCATTTGAGTTTAATGGAGATTTTTGCACCTTGATCTATAAGACTTGTGAGGAGAAATCACTTATTTCAAAAAAAAAAAAAAACAAGAGAGAGCAATGTGAAAAATCTAAAAACGAAGAGTACACATGGAGGGTGTGAGACATTATTCTCATTGTCGAAAATTGTGTATAGAAAAACACTTGCTGCAAAATAAATGGATTAAGTGAAAGCCCTGAAAATGAAGAGTACACATGGAGGGTGTGAGACATCATTCTTATTGTCGAAATTTGTCTACAGGAAAAGCTACTTATCTATTATATATAAAAATAAAAAAAAGAAGGAAGAAATATAGTGCAAACTTCAAAAATCAAGTCATAAAAAAAGAGAAATGTAGGATCAATATTATTCTTGGATGAGTATTGATAATTGGAACATCTTGTAAATACATCTATGAGTGAAGAAGTGAAAAATATGTGAATAGAAGAAGTGAAGTCTAGATTGTTATTCCAAGGAGTGTTTAAACATTTAAGTGCTTGACATCATTCTTAAATACTTGATATAAGAATCCATAGTGTTTAAAGGCACATCATTTCTAATTGTATTTTTTTTTTTCTATATTGAAATATGATGTTTGAGATTTGTAAAATTTTTTTTTCGTAATTCCATTGCAAAGGGACTAGCAATGATTTAAGTTGGGGGGTGTGATAAGTCTTCAGTATCATGAGTTAATAATTAGTAAATAATATAGTTTTAGCCTTAAATCATGATAAATAGACTTATATTTATGTTAAAGTGTGAAAAGTGGTTTTCAGTTGATTAACGTGAATTTTTGGGTAATTATGTGATTTTATATGATTTTTACAGTCTTACTTTTGAGATAAATAAAGAAAAAGAAATAAAAATAAAAATATTGTAAAATGGGGGGACCTGCTGGGCCCGCAAGCGGGTTAGAAGCTCAGTCAGGGAGTAGCCGCGAGCAAGGGCTCGAGTAGCTTGGACCAATAGGGGCACGTGTGTGCCACTCCCCTTCCACGTCACCGGTGGCCAGCCGGCTGTGGGGCAAGGAGTGGTCGTACACGCGAGAGAAGGGACTATGCTTAAAAAGCTAACATTACTATATATTCACCCGAAAAATCGGCGCACAACCAATGTGGGACTAAACCCATGTCACACCTTCCTCAAAAGAGGCGGGCGACCGACACAGGTTTGAATCCTCCTAGAGTCAAAAGTCATATTTTTTTATCTGATTATCGCGACTTTCTTGTAGATCGCCGGTGAAGGATTAGGCAATGAGAATCACTGGATCATCAGCGAAGATCTCGTCAACGCGATTTGCGGAGCATTGCTACTAAAATTGCTAAACGATTCGCGATAAAAGGATCGCGAATCCATTGAGTAAATCATCTTCGATTGATCGACGAACAAGTCGTCGTCGGGAAGAGGACGATCTGCCGGGAGACGAGTCGCCACCTCCTGAAAGCGTACCAGATGCGATGAAGAGCCTCCTCTTGCTGCGCGAAGCTGAGGATGAAGCTCCCTAACACGCGCCCCACCTCCATCCAGCTCCTCTCCATCGAGTGACAGCCGCCAGAGAGCCGCAAAGTTGCCATTTTTCCGCTCCGCCGGGTGACAGCCGCCGGAGACGATTTGACGACCCACTTCATTGATCTCTAGACTTTGCAAGGAGATCTAGAGATTACCTACGTCGTCTTTGTCCAAGGAGAGCCTTCGAGGTTGTGGACACTGCACGACAATCCTCTCGAACGCCTAGGATTCTAGTGCATCGCCGACGCATCGCCGTCGCAACGTCGGAACTCTATTTTCATGCTTTCAATTTACTTTACGCCTCATTTAGTGATAGTTTTTGTGATTTTAATTTACCAAAATATACTTTGATCTATTACTATTCTTCCGGCTTTTATAGATCTTAATTTGATCAATTAAATTGTTTGTAATCGCTTACGTAACAATCGTCGAGTGGAACTCTATTTCCACCCGATTCGCATTCGCCAGGCACTGACGTCATCCCGACGTCCGCACCCTTATTTCCCTTTTTTGTGAATTTTAAATATATTTCTTTTTCATTTCCTAGTATAAAATTCATAGAAACTCGTATTCATTGAGAAAAAATCTGAATAATTACCAGATATTATATTACATCTTTGTGATCGACCTAGAAAATTATCGCTATTTTTGAAATTTTTACTGAATTATAATTGATATATTTATTTAGAAATACTTCTAAATATCTGAAAATTCGTATTTTCTAGTTTTATAAATTTTAGATTTACGTGATTTAATATACAACGACTGAGTCACATCAGTACGCCTGCCTGTACTTAGGTTATGTGGTCAGACCTAGAGTCTAGGGTCCATACATTTTGATCGGATCAGTCTGACTGCCTCATCCCGGGTCTTGAGTTTCATTGATCAGGTACAAGGGTTCTTGCCACGTCCTGCATCATTCTGGATTTTGAATATTATTTAGGTTTTTTTAAGAAAAATTATTCCCCCAATTAGGATTATAAGAATTAAAAAAATATTCCTTATTTCTACTAAAATCATGGGGTACCTACACTTATTCTTGCCTAGGATGATATTGAAATTCGAAGTGATCATTTTCACCATACATAGAACATGTACTATTTGAATTAAATTGAGGGTTAAGAGGCTTTCTAATATTTTCAATAAGTAAATCAAGCTTTTCTAATCTTTGATTAATCTAATTAACCTCATTTCTAAATTTAGAATCATCATCATGATGTAATTCATAAATTCCTCTCTTCTTATCTCTGTCATATAATTCAAAAGAGGCTTGATCTCTAGAAATTTTACTTAAATTCTCATAAAGACTATAAATCTCATTAGGGGTTTTCTCCATAAAAGCTCCTCTACATATAGAATCAACTATATTTCTATGTTGTTCTAATAATCTATCATAAAAAATTCTATTGAGCTTCCACTTGGGTCTAGCATGATGAGGACATATTCTAAGTAAATCTTTGAATTTTTCTCATGTCTCATGCAAAGTTTCTCCTAGTCTTTAAGGAAAACTTCATATATGTTTTTTCATATTTTGAGTTTTTCTTAAGGGATAAAATTTTCGAAGAAAGGCATGTTCTATATCTTTCTAGCTAGTTAATACTCTATCTAATGTGGATAGCCAATGACTAGCTTTGTCCCTAAGTGTATGAAGAAATAATTTCATCTTAATAATTTCCAGTGTAACTTGAGGAAGATTAACTAAATCACAGACCATATAAAAATTTTCTAAGCACTGATGAGGTTCCTCTAAAGGTAATTCATGAAAATTAGGGAGTATTTAAAAAATTCCTAGATTTATTTCGAATTTAATAGTGGGTGCTAATGAGACTCTAATATTGGATGCTCTTTGAAATGAATCAGGGATATAAGAATTTTTCATGGTCATAAGCTTGTTCTTAGTTTGACCTATACTTCCTTCAAGATCCATCAAAATTAATTTTTCTTTCAAATTTTTAGTTTTGAATGAAATAATGAAAGGATTTTCTAGCCTTGGATGCAAGGAACTTCTACCATGCATAAAAAACCAATAAATTTGAGGGAAAAGGTTTAGTAATTGTTATCCTCTTTCAGTATGCTCCAGTCCTTGCCTTGCTTCTCTTCGTTCCCTTTTTCTATTTTTTTTAAAAATCACCAAAAAAAATAAAACAAGAGTTAATTTTTTTGTGTACTCAAAGAGAAAAATAGAAAAATACTAAATATTATGCAATACATCCCCGGAAATGGCGTCAAAATTTGACATGACTTAGTAGTTGTATAGTAAATCACGCAAATTTAAAATTTATAAAACTAGAAAAATACAAATTTTTGGATATTTAGAAGTATTTCTGAACAAATATATCAATTATCATTCAATAAAACTTCCAAAAAAAACGGTAATTTTCCAAGTCACGAAAAAGTTCACGAAAAGGAAATATATTTTCTCAAAGAATAATATTTTCTATAAATTTAACACTAGGAAATGAAAAAGAAATATATTAAAAGTTCACGAAAAAGGAAAATAAGGGTGCGGGGACGTCAAGATGACATCAGCACTTGGCAAACACGAATCGGGCAGAAATAGAGTTCCGCCCTGTAATTTTTACGTAAGCGATTAGAGACGATTTAATTGATCAAATTAAGATTTGTAAAAGCTGCAAGAATCGTAATGGAATGAAGTATATCTTCGTAAATTTAAAATCAACAAATTATCACTAAATGAAATGGAAATTAAGTTGAAAGCAAGACAACAGAGTTCCGATGTCACAATGGCGATGCGCCGGCGATGCACCGGAATCTTGAGCATTCAGGAGGATCGTTGACATGACTTAGTCATTGTGTATTAAATCACGCAAATCTAAAATTTATAAAACTAGAAAATACAAATTTTTAGATATTTAGAAGTATTTCTAAATAAATATATCGATTATAATTCAATAAAACTTCCAAAAATAGAGGTAATTTTCCAAGTCGATCATAGGGATGTAATATCATATCTGGTAATTATTCAGATTTTTTCCCAATGAATATGAGTTTCTATGAATTTTAAACTAGGAAATGAAAATGAAATATATTTAAAATTCACAAAAAAAGGAAATAAGGGTGCGGACGTCAAGATGATGTCAGCGCCCGGCGAACACGAATCGGGTGAAAACAGAGTTCTGCCTGACGATTCTTATGTAAGCGATTACAAATGATTTAATTAATCAAATTAAGATCTATAAAAGTCGGAAGAATCGTAATACTATGAGAGAAGGTCTATTTCATACGTTCAGCAAGGTGGTACTATGAGAGAAGGTCTATTTCATACTGCCTGTTGACCTCACCTCCTCCACACATTCAGGTTGCAACTATTTTGTCACACAAGTTAGCTCTTTATCAATGTTAGTCCCGTGGCTAACTCCCATTATGTGGCCCCTACCCTTTCCGCTGTTCTCCATGTACTCATGGCATGTTGTCCACAAGCCCAGTGGCCTCTGTAAGACTAGGTCAGTCACCTCTCTAGCACCACCTTACCTCAAACTCAATTGAATGTTTTTGTTACTAATCTGTCATTATCGTAAATATTTTTACTTTAAAAATGTTATCGCAGCTTGGTAGGATCCTCATCCATGAACTAGCAACAAAAAAACAAATCGTAATCCACGCTCTTTCTACCTAGTGACCTCAGATCCCTTGACAAATAGTTGAGGACATTCTTCTTCTAGAAATGTGAAGGTGTGAATATTCTTTCACAACACTGATTACGGTAGAAGACGTCACGTAAAAGATGCGAAGAAGCCGTATTATCGTCAATAGGCTATGCGTGTACCCGTAAAAAAATAAGGTTTTCCGTAGAGCTATTTTCGAGTGAAAACAGACAGTTCAGTCGGATAATATTTGAATCAGTCACCGCAATGAAATATAATGTTTTTTATTTTCGTGGAGACCGGGAAGAATTATTTAATGTTACCCGGCACGAATCCTTTATTCTGCGGTGGTCGTCCTCCAGCGTAGGGTTCAAACGCCGCAGCCGTCACAGCCGTTGAAGAATATCCTCTTTTGAATGTAATAGCTCAATGTTCTAGTCATTTAATTAAAAAAACTGTATCTCCCGAAAATGGATTCCTTTTACAATGTAGGTTTGTAAACACGAATTCTGTCGTCATCGTTCTATTAAACCATCATTTTTATTAAAGGGGAGAACTTTTCAAAAGAACGACCGATTCAGCGGGTAACATCAGCGGAAAACGACTCGTTAGTAAGATATGATGCGCTGCTCTATAAGTTTCAGAACCGTTGTTTTATTTGTCGTCCTCGGGTACTAGTCCATCTCCTCTTGAAGAAAATAGTGAGCTAGAGCCATGGGATCCTTCCACCAAAGCTGGCGGCAACTCCTACTCCTGTCTTCCCTCTTCCTGCTTCACTCGCTCACCGCCTACCCGGCTGTCTCCGGAATTTTCTACACTCTCTGCCGGAACCCCGGAACCTACACTGCCAATGGCACCTTCGAGGCCAACCTCAGTCATCTCATCTCGTCCCTGTCCGCCTCTGCCCCGGTCACGGGCTTCGCCAACGACACGGTTGGCTTGGGCCCCGACCAGGTTTTCGGGCTCGCCCAGTGCAGGGAAGACCTCACCGAGGAGCAGTGCGGGGTATGTCTGGTCGCTGGCGTAGAAGAGGTCACGAGGTTATGCCCTTACAAAAAGGCCGCCGTCATGTGGAACGAGACCTGCCACTTGAGGTACTCCAACCAGAGGTTCTTCGGCAAGCTGAGGGGGGAGAAGCTGATAAGGTGGATCACTGGGAACGTGACGAGCGACCCCAATTTTGACCGCATCCTCCTGGGCCTACTCGACGGGCTAACGGCGCGCGCCGCCGTGTCCCCGCGCATGTTCGCAACCGGCAAGACGAAAGTGGACGTCTACGACCTATACGGGCTGGTTCAGTGCACGAGGGACCTCGCCCTCGATGTCTGCGGTCAGTGTCTGAAAACGGCGATAGGCGATGTGCAGAGGTATTGTGAAGGAAAGCAGGGCGCGTGGGTTATCGAGGGGAGCTGCGACGTCAGGTACGGTGTTTTTCCCATTCTTCAACGGCTCCGCCGGCGGCGGCCGCTGAACCCTATGCAGGAGGACGACCGTCGCAGAATAAAGGATCCGTCCTAGGTAACCTTAAATAATTCTTCCCGGTTTCCTTCAGATAAAACGACGTTTGACTTTATTATTGCGCGGACTGATTCAAACATTATCCGACTGAACTTTCTGTTCCCACCCTTAAAGAAATCTAGGTAAGCCTGATTTTCTACATGTACACGCATAAACTTTTGAGGATAATGAAACTTATTCTCATCTAATATTTTGACGACTCCGGGGTAGTTCCGATAGTGAAAGGATATTCGCACCTTTGTATTTCTAGGATAATAATATCCTCTTTTCATTTGTCTAGGGATCTGAAGTCACTTGGTAGGAAGAGTGTTGATTGTATTTGGTTTGTATATAGTGAGTGCATGGATGAAGATCCTACCCAGCTTAATGCCTACTATTTGGGATAATTAGTAACATAATATATTTTAAACCAAAAGAGTTACGATAATGACTGGTTAGAAACAAAACATTTAATCAGATTTTAGGTTTAAGTGTAATTTCTTAGCTCGCCTGCGCAAAGCCGGACTAACGCTAGAGAGCTGACTGGCCACGAGGGCGGCAGGCCCACGATAGTGTCATGAATACGTGGAGAACGGGAGAAAGGGTAAGGGCCACGTTCTGGGGTTTGCCAATAAAGAAACACAGATGAAGGGATATCATGTGTAACCACCACTTGCAGGAATTTAGTATTTATGGAATTTAAACACTGGGGTCCTCGAACACTGCATTTAGAAGACTTTCTTACGAGAATCCTTTTCGCCTTGTGGGCTACTGCTACGTTGGTGCATGGGGGACGTGGGACGAAAGGGCTGAATGACATAGGCCCCTCTATAAGAGGACCAGCTCGTCCATACTGAATCCTCTGTCCGATTTGTTTTCATCCACAGTGAATATGAATCGTAGGTATACTTCATGTGCTGGTCGAGTTTAATGAACGAACAGAGAGAATGATGCGTTGACAAGACTATCTATGAATTTTGATAGCATGAAAACGATATGTGAGATTACGTTGAGACATTTACTGTCATGTAGATAGGACTACAGCTTGAGAGTGAACTGCACATATTTAGGATTAAAATGGTAAAACGAGATTTGGTGTCGAGTGAAGGGGAACATTACTTTTGTCAGCACACTGCCTATTGCACTATGAGAGTGTCTTTGTATATTCCACTGTGTTTTCACTTTATTGTATGACGCTTTTGCCTCTAAAGGTGGACCCTATCCTTCTTCTATAAACCTGCCGTGCTCACGATAAATCATAGTGAAAACCATTAAATACCTTGAAGGAAGGTGATAAAAAGTTGTTGAGACTCGAAGGTGCTAGGGGTAGATGGGGAGCTTGCAACTCTTCTCGGCTAGAACATTTTAAAGGCTGGGAAGCTAAGAACTTTCTCCTGCACCGTTTCAGTTTTTGGTGCAAGCTTTCATGACTCAATGCCAGATTTATGATATATGTTGACACCTTTGTATCCTACCTGTCAGCACTTATTCTTTTTTCATTCTACTTTGCACAATCGGCAGCAAGTTTTGTATCGACCTTATCATTGAGTGCTATCACAACTAACTCAGGTGTTGACACATGCTCTTCAAATAAGTGTGAGCACTTAAATGCATGCACTGCCACATAATAGCACTCTACGTTTATTCATCTGACAATATACAAAAAAAGGGTTGAACTCTCATTGAGATAGGTTTTAGTTTGATAAGGTTGTTGACCACTATCCCTCGTATGTTAATATTTGAATACTTGTTCAGTCTTTCGATGTGGTTGCAACCATTCAGCCTGACATAGTGCATTACACCTTGAAAATTAAGTATTTCCCTTTTTACATGATTATATTTCATCCCATATTTCCACTCCATGGTGTTTGATTTCTCAGAAAACATTAAAGGTTTTAATTATTGCTAGAAAATTCGCATTTCTATGTTATTTTCCAACATCTAGTGGTGTTTAAGGTGCTAACAATGAAAAGTACACAAAGTGAGGATTAGAAAAAGGTGAATAGCTGTACACTTCTACCAAATACGGACATAATTGGGACTTTAACGAGAAGACAATATGAAATAAAGATGTAACTAGTCAAGCTAATAAGGGTGATGAATACTCTACTGTGTTTAGCTTGAATAGATGCCCCCTGATATGACTTAGTCATTGTATATTAAATCACGTAAATCTAAAATTTATAAAACTAGAAAATATGATTTTTCGGATATTTAGAAGTATTTCTGAACAAATATATCAATTATAATTTAATAAAACTTCCAAAAAATAGCTATAATTTTCCAGGTCGATCACAGGGATGTAATATAATATTTAGTATTTATTCAGAATTTTCCTCAAAGAATACTATTTTCTATGAAGTTTATACTAAGAAATGAAAAGAAAATATATTTAAAATTCACGACAAAAGGAAATAAGGGTGCGGACGTCAAGATGACATCAACGCCCGGCGAATGCGAATTGGGCGGAAATAGAGTTCCGCTCGACGATTCTTACGTAAGCGATTATAGACGATTTAATTAATCAAATTAAGATCTGTAAAAGTCAAAAGAATCGTAATTGAATGAAGCATATTTTGGTAAATTAAAATCACACAAATTATCACTAAATGAAGCGTAAAGTAAGTTGAAAGTAGGAAAATAGAGTTCTGGCGTCACGACGGTGATGCGTCGGTGATGTACCGGAATCCTGAGTGTTTGAGAGGATCGTTGTGCAGTGTCCACGGCCTCGAAGGCTCTCTTTGGACAAAGGCGACGTGGGCAATCTCTAGATCTTCTCGCGAAGTCTAGAGATTAATGAAATGGGTCGTCGAGTCATCTCTGGCGGCTGTCACCCAGAGGAGCAGAAAAACAGCGACTTTGGGGCTCTCTGGCGGCTGTCACTCGATGGAGAGGAGCTTGATGGAGGTGGGGCACGTGTCAGGGAGCTTCATCCTCAGGTCTGCATAGCAAGAGGAGGCTCTTCATCGCATCTGGTATGCTCTCAAGAGGTGGCGACTCGTTTCCTGGTGGATCGTCCTCTTCCTGACGACGACTTGTTCGTCGATCAATTGGAGATGATTTACTCGATGGATTCGCAATCCTTTTATCACAAATCCTTCAGCAATTTTAGTAACAATGCTCCCCGAATCACGTTGAAGAGATTTTCACCAATGATCCAGTGATTCTAGTTGCTTAATCCTTCACTGGCGATCTGCAGGAAAGTCACGATAATTAGATAAAAATATGAGTTTTGGCTCTAGGAGGATTCAAACCCGCGTCGGTTGCCCCCCCCCCCGCCTCTTCTAAGGAAGGTGACGGATTTAGTCCCACATCAGTTGTGTGCCGAATTTTCAGATGAATATATAGTAATGTTACATTTCTAAGCAAAGTCCCTTTCTCGCGCGTGTACGACCACTCTTTGCCCCATAGCCGGCTAGCCACTAGTGACGTGGAAGGGGAGTGGCATACACGTGCCCCCATCGGTTCAAGCTGCTCGAGCCCCTACTCGTGGCTCATACCCGATTGCACTTCCGACCCGCTTGCGGGCCCGACTGGCCGGTAGATTCCTCTTATTTTGTCTAATTTTTATTTTAATTTCTTTTCCTTCATTTATCTCAAAAGTAAGACTATAAAAATCATATAAAATCACATAATTACCCACAAATTTACATTAATCAATTGAAAACCACTTTTCACACTTTAACACAAATATAAGTCTATTTATCATGATTTAAGGCTAAAACTATATTATTTACTAATTATTAACTCATGATAATGAGGACTTATCACCCCCTAACAAGCAAAAGATCTCTTTTTCCAGGGAGGATCACCTCATCTCTAGTTGTGCAGCAATCTTGGTGTAGTTTTTTCTTCATGCCTAAAGAAGTGTTGATTTGCTCATATGTGAGCATAATATACAGGTATATTTCCCACTTGATTTTCTGTGTCAACTTGATGCCATGAGCATCTGGTGTATTTCTCCTTTCAGTGTTTTTTTTACTCTCTAAAATGATCCAGGGTACCTACTTGAATGTTAAATAAGGATCTTTATGTAAATGCAGCACAATCAGCTTTGTTATAGAACGTGCAACAAAATGAAATGTAGTCAATAACAAGAAGAGAAGAGATACCTAGACCAAATCATCAGTTTAACTAAAAAAAATCGATAGTTCTCATTCACATCATTGGAAGATTTGAATACACATTTATCATGGAAGGCCAATTTATTGGGAAATATTGATGGATTTTTTCTCTCCACACCGCCATCACTTAAGAGTTATGTAAAGTACACATGAATATCAGATGAAAGGGTATAAACATGCTATATGACCATAGAACGTAGACCTAGTAAAGTCAAGTTTTGCCTTTGTTAAGGCTTCATTTGCCTTCATATACGTTTAAGCTTAGAAAATATACAGTTCAATCAAAGGTTTTTTAAACATCTAGAAAGGGAAGACTGTAAGAATAATGATTTTGATCATAACACGAATTCCATAAATAGATATAATGGAAAATTAAACAAGTTATATTGGAATAGACTGATAGAAATCAAGATATAAATATTTACATCTTGCCTTCAAAGCCTCAAATGAATAAATCAAATACACAAAGACATATGGACAATAAACTTAGGTTAAAGCAAATCAGAAAAGAAAACTATGCTCTTTACATGTGGCAAAATATTGAGAAGGATAATGCACTTTATGAAATATTGAGTAGGATACTATTTGGCCACTATCATAGAAAGAGCTCGTGAGATTATGCCCCTATAAAAGGGCAACCGTCAAGTTGAATGTGACCCACCACCTAAGGTACTCAAACTTGCACTTTTTCAATAAGTGAGGATGAAAAAGTTATTTTGGTAGATCACAGTGAGCGTGATGAGTGATTGACATGACTCAATAAAAATTGCATAATAAATCACACAAATTTAATGTTTATTAAAATTCAAAATAACAAATTATAGATTTTTAAAAATATTTCAGAATAAATAAATAAATTATAACTCGATAAAAGGTTTAAAAAAAATGAAAACTTTTCAAGTCGATCAAAAGGATATAAGATAATATTTAGTAATATTTCCAAATTTTCTTAAAAAGTATAAGTTTCTAAATCAATAAAGAACTCTAAAAATGGTGAGATTTTTCAAAGTTGATCTTAAGGATGTACGTCAATATCAAGTAATACTATAAATTTTTTCACAAAGAATACCATTTCATATGATTTTTAGACTAAAAGATCATAAACAATCTTTTTTAAAACTAAAAAAAAGGAAATTGAGCTGCTGACATCATGCTAACATCATGCTAAGATCTATAAATGTCTAATAGATCATAAGGGAGTAAAGATGAATTTCAAAACTTATATTAAAAAAACTATCATTAATCTAAAGATTAAAAAAATATGAGTAAATAAAATAGAGTTTTAATGTTACGACAATAATTGTTAGAATTTTGTATGTTCAAAAGATTTTCTAGAGGTATTCATAACCTTGAAGGCTCTATTTAGACATACAAGTGATAATTATAAATTAGTAGTTGTATTTATGTAGTAATATCTTATATATAGATAGATGGTAATTAATGAGTAGATAATACTATTATACATGTGTTACCAACTCATTATGACATTTATATTACTTTACTTATTTTATTTATATTATGAGAGTAACCCCACTTGACTTTTATGAAGTCAAGTGATAATTCTCACATTTTCTTGATAATTATTTGATTGCAAAGATTTAAGTGAGTTCTTAATATGAGTTAGAAGTAATGGAAGAAGTCCAAGCCTTCAGCCTAATAAAAAGCCCAAGTCTTATGGAGAGGGCTGACCTAATATATTTATGAGCTCAAGAGAGGATGTCACTTTGGCCTAGCCCATTTAGACTTAAAACAGTTATCAAGAGATAAGATCTAGACCGTCCATCTTAAGGCATCTTAAGATGAGATTAAGAGAAGGATTAGAGTACTACCCTCATGAAATGATCTCGGCCATCTACCAAGAGAGTCAGTTATTAATCTTAACCATCCATTTGAGGGGCTTAACTCTCAAGAGGATTAAGACATCTTGCCCCCCTCTTAGAGGGGGCTTTTTGGCCCTCTTTCGAGTAGTGGCTAGTTGAAAGAAATAGGAGGAAAATCAAGGCTTAATCAATGACATTCTCATGCCCAAGATTATCACGGAGAATAAATTACCTAGAGTGCATCAAGATTATCATGGATCGAGCATCACTCTTGGCCTAGGACTAGCATAGAATGAGATTTGTGCAAGATTCTGATTTGAGGAGTCTTTGTAATCCTCTCCATAGATAGATTAACTTTTAATTCGAACTAATTTTATCATTTGTTCCATCATTCTACTATATTAGATCTATTCTCCCCTCTTTGTCATGCTTTTCATAACTCTTGTCTTCACCCTTTTACATTTAATTCCATCCTTCACAATCTCACATATATATCTATCTATATAAGAAATAAAATAAGTAGAATTCATACTCTTATTACCCATGCTCCTTGAAGATCGACTGTTACTTGTTCTAAATAGAATAGTGAGGTTTTATAAATATTATTTGTATGAACTTGATTGTATCACGATGACATATTTAACCTCTAATTCGAATTTATCAACAAGGCTTGGGCATTGTTTATATTCCTATGAAATGTTCAAAAGGTGAATAAAGGTATTGATGAAGTGTCTTCAACAACTATTACCTTGTGAAGTAGAAGTTGATGAAAATGATTGATAAGTCTTCATTATCATGAGTTAATAATTAGTAAATAATATAGTTTTAGCCTTAACTCATAATAAAAAGACTTATACTTGTGTTAAAGTGTGAAAAGTGGTTTTCGATTTTATATGATTTTTACAGCCTTACTTTTGAGATAAATGAAGGAAAAAGAATTAAAATAAAAATATAGCAAAATGGGGGGACCCACCAGCCAGTCAGGCCCACAAGTAGGTTGGAAGCACAGTTGGGGAATAGTCCCGAGCAAGGGCTCGAGCAGCTTGAACTGATGGGGGCACATGTGCGCCACTCCCCTTCCACGTCACTAGTGGCCAATTGCCTGCGGGGCAAGGAGTGGTCGTACACATATGAGAAAGGGACTTGATCGAAAATGTAGTATTACTATATATTCACGAGAAATTTCGGCACACAACCGATGTGGTCACACCTCCCCAAAAAGGGCGGGGGGGGGGGGGCAACTGGCATAAGTTCGAATCCTCGAGCCAAAACTCATATTTTTTTTATCTGATTATCGCGACTTTCCTATAGATTGCCGGTGAAGGATTAAGCAACCAGAATTGCTAGATCATCGGCAAAAATCTCGTCAACGCAATTCGTGGAGCATTGTTACTAAAATTTCTGAACGATTTGCAATAAAAGGATCGCGAATCCATCGAGTAAAGCATCTCCAATTGATCAACGAACAAGTCGTCGTCGGGAAGAGGATGATCCACTGGGAGACGAGTTGTCACCTCCTGAGAGCGTACCAGATGCAATGAAGAACCTTCTCTTGCTGTGCGGACCTGAGGATGAAGCTCCCTAACATGTGCTCCACTTGCATCCAACTCCTCTCTGTTGGGTGACAGTTGTCGAAGAGCCGCAAAGTCGCCGTTTTTCTGCTCTATCGAGTGACAGCCACCGAAGACGATTTGACGACCCATTTCATTAATCTCTAGACTTCGCAAGGAGATCTAGAGATTGCCCACATCGTCCTTGTCCAAGGAGAGCCTTTGAGGCTATGAACACTGTACGACTATCCTCTTGAACACTTAGGATTCCGATGCATCGCTGACGCATCACCACCGCGATGTCGGAACTCTGTTTTCCTGCTTGCAACTTACTTTACGCTTCATTTTGTGATAATTTGTTGATTTTAAATTTACCAAGATATACTTCATTTCATTACAATTCTTACGGCTTTTACAGATCTTAATTTGATCAATTAAATCGTCTGTAATCGCTTACGTAAGAATCGCTAGGTGAAACTCTGTTTCCACCCGATTTGTATTCGCCGGGTGCTAACATCATTCTGACATCCGCACCCTTATCTTATTTTCCTTTTTCGTGAGTTTTAAATATATTTTCTTTTCAATTCCTAGTATAAAATTCATAAAAAATAGCATTCTTTGAGGAAAATTTTAAATAATTACCAGATATTATATTATATCCTTGTGATCGACCTAGAAAATTACCGCTATTTTTGGAAGTTTTATTAAATTATAATTGATATATTTGTTCAGAAATACTTCTAAATGTTTGAAAATTTGTATTTTCTAGTTTTATAAATTTTAGATTTGTGTGA